AGAGAGAGAGAGAGAGAGAGAGAGAGAGAGAGAGAGAGAGAGAGAGAGAGAGAGAGAGAGAGAGAAGAGTAAGGATGATCGATTCCTTTTGGAAAACAGAAGCTGCAAAATTAAATGCCGACCAACTTGGAACTAACTGACCACCCCATCACTCAGTGTACGCTATGCATCGTAATCTACATGCAAGCACAAGGCACTCACTCAAGGGAAGCTCACAGGTCATTGAATGCAAAACCACTGTGTCCATCAGACAAAAAGACGTCCAATCAGAAGTGTGACTTCCCAAATGTACCTTGATGTCTGTGTGGCCAGATGCAGAATCTACAGATCATGCATCCACCTTGCCCCCCTGCACATCCAGGCACACGCTGGCTGGGTAAACAAACATATGGAAATATCAGCCAAAGTGGGGGCAATCTTGTTCTCTTTCCCTTTCCAAACAAAGCCGGCTTGAGGCGACATCATAAAGATGAAACGGTATTCACCAGTTCGCAGTAGCTGATGCAGATCCCGGGGCTCGATCCCTAGACCTCACCCTACCTGTGTACAGTATCTGTGTCGACCCCGAGAGTTGAACCCATGACCTGTGTATTTGTAACAGTTGGTAGACTGTCATAGGGTCCGTAGGTAGCAGGGGTTCGATCTGTAGGTCTGTCGAGTAGAAGTCTTAGAGAGTTCTGGATGTCGTAGCTGCTACAGCCCTGAAGGGTCAAGGTCGTAGCTGCTACAGTATCGAAAGGCCAAGTCCACGTCCTTCCGGAAGGTCCTAGCAGTGGCCTTTCGAAGTTGCTCACGTTTAGACTGAGGCAAGTGGGCAAGTGGGCAAGTGGGCAAGTGGTGAGCCCAACTGCAGCACGTCGACACTGCGACTGCGTTGAGTTCGCAGTGCAAACCCATGCAGTCAGCAGTACCAGTCCCAGTCAGTCCTAGTCCAGTCAAGTAAGTACCGCATGGGAGTGTGTGCACCACGGGCATGGGGAAGGGCCAGACCAGCGAGCTACAGAAGTATAAATCAAAGGGCAGCGCCCAGCCATTCATTCATTCCTTCGTGAGCCATCCGGAAGCGCTGCCATAAGCGACTTGTGCGAGGTGGTCTGCAGTGAGCCCGAGGACGAAGTGGGCGAGAAAGGAGCGTAGCCATACCGATAGGGTAGTAGCGGCCATAGCCGCCATAGCTGTAGATAGAGTTCAGTGTATGTGTGAGTGAGTGTTCAGAGTGTCGCGTGTGGGATATCCAGGGTGATCCTGTGTATGCGAACAGAGAGCTGTGTGGGCGCTGAGTCGCCATAGCCATCGAAGTGAACTTGTATCCCAACTGTGTTCTCGGTTACCATATCTCTGAGTTCTGAGTGGGCGCTTGTCGCCAGTTTGCTGCGCACCTGTTTGCATGCATGAGAAGTGTGGATGAGAGCGAGTCTGATTGCAAAGATCAAGTTTGTTGGGCTTTTAGAGCAAAACACACTGCGCACTCGAAAAAAAAAAAAAAGCAGACCTTGTTTTCTAGTGTGCACTAGAAAAAAAAGCGAGCACGAACATATCCAGTTTTCACATGAAAAAAGCAAGCATATGGTTCATTGAATTTCATTCCAAATCCGAAGCACAGCAGCCACCTTCCCGTTGACAGCCCTCTTTCATTCGAAGAAACTGGTCCAAAAATTGGTCCAATTTTTATACCAGTTTCTTCAAATTAGTATCTCCTTGCTGTAGACCTGTGTAGCATCATGTTCGGGTTCGGTGACCGAACCCGAACGTTCGGGACTGAACGCGAACAAGCGCCGAAACTCCCCGAACGCGAACATAAAAAAA